GTGGCCAAATCACGAATGGTGCAGTTAGCAGATGGCTTAATCCCCAAAATCAGAGAGATTCTGGGAAGAAGGAGCGGATCTAACGATAAGAATGCATGCGTGTAATATTTTACCACCTCTGCTCTGTTTTTGACATCGATTCTTTGGGGAAGTACCGCCGCAACCCTGACTTCTTCGTTCTGGAACGCCCTTTGAAGGCTTGTGAGGATGGACTGCAGCTGTCTTATCGAGAGGTCAAGGGAGAATATTGGTGACATTCTCGGATGCTCCAGCATGGCAGAACAGAAGAGCTCGTCACGTAACCAGATCTCTTTCGATTCGTAGCCCCGTATATGCAGAGCATCAATACCCATGAAAGCGTAGCATATCAGAGCAATACTGGATCCCACACCAAATGGTCTGTAAGGAAAGCAGGGTTGTTCGAAGCACGGTTGAACAAAGCTAGACTCTTGCGATGAATATTGTCCGAGAAGGAACAGGGTATATCTGATCTGCATTTCCAAGTCTTCGCAGGACATAGTATGCAAGCCCTGAGATTCGCTTAAAGCGTCGCGGATATCAGTGAGCCAGGACTGCAACTGACTGTACTGCAAGACGAAACTCTTCTCCCAGTCATGGTCACTCCGGTATATTATGGCCCACAAGGAGCCTTCATTTCCAGGGAGCATTGCAGTAATGAATAAGTAGTTTAGAACCAGTAAGAGCTGATGAAAGGTGTGGCGGCTCTCGGCTGAAAGAGTGCCAGGTGCTGGAATTTGGGGTTGGAGTCGAGGTGGCAAGGAAACCTGAAATATTGTTAGCCGTGAATGCTAATGTACACCGAGACTGCAGAATTTACCGGAAGTGCCATATCAAAGTATGACTGCGTTGTACAAGGGCCGAAAGAGCCCGGGCGCTCCTCAGGATCGCCTGTACTGAGCGTAAAGTGACCGACGAGACTGGGAGGTGACTTCTGCGATGTCACCACTTCGCCTTCGTTTTTCCAATCTTCTATCAGGCCGTTGCTGGCTTGGCAGTCTCTTGGAGATAAGACGTCATTGGTAGATGGAGATTGGCATTTATACCCCGATTGATTGGCAACTTGCCCGGTCTCACAAGTTTCTCTTTGTGCATCGATGGTCTTCTCATTTCGCTCATTATAATGCGTCTGCTCGGCCTCGAAGACAGCCTTTTGCCGCTTCGAGCTTTCTGGCTGGGCTGCCGGCATTGTCTTGTGCCCCAAGGCCAAAGGGACCCGTTCTTCATACAAACATAGATCCGGTTGCCCACGGTCACAGCAAGACTGACAGGCGGGTATATCTCTACTGCATCCTTTTTTGGAAATGCGACAGGGGATGCAGGGCTGCCGTAATTTTCTAGAGCATGGGGCTGCCAATCCATGAGAATTTGTCATGGCTTTGGAAATAAATAATCAATATTGGATTAATCGCAGATGTATTCTCTTGCCTCTATCAAAATGGCGAAGCAATTTGTAATAAGAAAAGCGGTCGAGATAGTTCGTGGCTTGGGGATATCTGATTTGGATGAAACTTTGATAAAAGTGAGATGCAATCGAAGCTACACTGAGTCTACTTTAAATACACCAACACCCGTGGCCATGACGTTCTTCAGACGGCATTCTCTTACACATTCTTCAAGGCTTTGGTGGCGACCTGTACGGCTCCTGAAGTGGTAAGTAGTGAGCCCTTTCGGCATACTGGATCCGATGCTACCTGAAAATACATGGTATTATCTGGAGCGTCGCGGCACTCAGCATGCCTTGAAACTTTCACCCTCTCTTTTCTGGACAGAAATAGCCTGTGGTCTGGACAGAAATAGCCTGTGGTCTGGAGACACATCGATTGTGACATTCCGAGAGGATTGTAGTGGCCCGGGGAATACCGTCTGCGTTCCCAGGAGTAACAAAGCGCATTGGGTCCTCAATGCTGATTTTGGTATCAGAAAGTAGACCCTTGGATCCACCGACTAGATCTCAGGAGCTTGATGCGACCTACAGCTGCAGGAGCTTTAGTCGGATGAACTGGGCCAAGGATTGGAGCCCTTCATAAAGATGCCTCCGTCTCTCTTGGCTTTCTCCAAGCCTCTTTCAATTTCACACCCTCTCGAACTTCTTTAAATCATGATTAGTCAAGGATTCTCACGACGTATTGCCATGGGAAACTAAAAAGATTGATAGTCTCAAATCCGAGACTTGCCTCAAGAGATAGTGCTGATGATTGCCGCATACCTACATGGTAGCGCAAAATTCGCTCTTGCAAGATCCTGCAGAGATCTGTACCACCTGCTACGAACGGCAATTCTCCAATTTAAAATCGAACATCAGAACATCAATCTTCTGGGCCTGACCGCCAAAGATGACAATGTTGATCTTACGCTCATGTTGCTCCATCATGGAGCAAACGTCAATGCCTTCTTTCGGCGAGAACCCCGGTCGTGAGGGCTCTCAAATACTCTTCATCTGCAGTGCTCAAGCTCCTTCTGGAAAGTCCTAGGCTAGATATCAATATCCAAAGCCGAGAGCAGGCAGGCGTCTTATGGTTTGCGGTTACATATCGATCAGGCTCGACCCTGCGGGCTCTCTTGGAATTGCCCGGCTGCGCAGTCAACCTCCGGCATCGACGAGGCCAGACTGCATTCCATTTCGCCGTATGGTGGGGCCGAATCGACTTGGTGGAAGCGCTGCTCTCTAACGGTGGTGATCCCTACGCATACGATGATTCTGGTTGTTCGCCATGGGATAGGGCATTTCAATACGATAGGCCCTCTATGAAGGCTGTGTTTTCCCGAGAGGAAGGGTATGTCCGGCCAATGTATGCTCACTCTGATGCGTCAGCGCTGCACCAGGCAGTCCCGCATGGATCAGTGGATGCTGTGAAGCTGCTTCTGGGCCGGAAAGTTCTTGACCTGGCGGCAATCGACAGTGATGGTGCGACAGCCCTCCATCTCGCTGTCCGCAGTCGACGCTTAGAAGTGGTCGACCTCATTATCCGGCATCCTCGCGTGGATGTGAACTTTTAGATAATGACGGCAACTCCCCGCTTTGGTGGTCGACGTTTTTGTCATGTTACGAGATTACCGAAAGGCTTCTAGCTGAGGAGAACATTGATGCCAACTTGATCGGTGGCTTCGGTCGGCTTGACACACCCTCGGCACCACTACACCATGCCGCGACTCGGTCGCACATAATGATTTTGAAGCAGCTGCTTGCGGCCCCAGGAATCGATCTGAACGTCTGCGCTGCGAGACAGACCCCTTTTTCTGCCGCCGCCGCTGCGGGTAGAGTCAACGCAATGAAGATACTTTTGGGTGAGAGGGGCGTGGAAATCAATACAGGTAGAATTTTGATGGATCCTCCTCTATGCCAAGCGGCAGCGGGATGCCATATGGAGGCTGTTAGGTTATTGGTGCAGCAAGGCGAGCGGCTCAGAGTCAACCAAGGCACCTTGACAATGCATGACACGGCTCTGGGGATTGCTGCTCGTGCGGGGAACCTGGAGATAGTCCGGGCTTTGTTGAAACACGATAAAATTGACCCTAGCCTGGAGAACCGATGGCTGGAGTCTCCGTTGGTGTTGGCAGTCAAAGGCGCACATGTTCTCGTCGTCGACGCTTTGCTAGCGGATCAAAGGGTGGATACGTACAGCTTACGAGAGGCACGAGCAATCGCGACGCACGAGAGTATCCGAAGAGCCACTCACTACGAGATCGATGATCGCAGAGCCCGTTGCGAATGGATGAAGGCACACTGGTCCCTGCCATAGTGGACGCGGGTAGTCTGCGTGGACGGGTGCTGAGGTAGTGCTGCTTGAGGTATTGAATGTGGGCTACAGAAAAGTGCCGGCTAACATTGATACACTGTGCGCAACGTGCACTAAAGCGTAAAACAAGCATAAGAGGAATATAATCATCGATCTCACAAAACGTGGTGGTAACCAGATTGCCTTGAGAAGCTGCAGAAACTGCATTGCTCTTACCACATGTTTCTCAACGTCGTGCATCAAAGGTTAGAACGTGCGTGGACTGTCTGTCAACTCAAAACGGGTGAAGTATGGCCCAGATTAATTTGATGACAGGATTATTCCGTCAGCGATTAATATGCTGTATTTAAGATCTATGGAAACCCGCTCTGTTGTGCACGCTCAATCTTCTCCTATTCTTCCCTAATGAACCCACGCGCGGCATCCTCTTCACTAGCCGACCGACCGGCCAAGAGGCAGCGAAGACTCTCCGAGGACACTTGCAACGACCCGAACGCAGAGGATATTTCACCAGCCTCATGCTCTACCGCAGCGAGCAACCTCCCCTACAACGCAACTTAAGCAAATTCTGCGCCGCAATAGCGACCTCGCCCTACCGGCCCTTAGACTCTTAGATTTATATCTATGTCTATGGGAAACTTATGTTGTGAAATCTGCGGAGAGTATCCGGCTTGAAGATGAGCGGCGTCAGATATGCGAGTTCAACGAAGTGCTGGAAGAAGAGACTGATACCCTCCTTCAGCGTTGCAACCGGCAGGCGCTGGAGGTGGAGAATCGGAAACGGGCATTGAATGCATCCCATGGCAGTGTCATATCGGCCTTGCAAATCATTGATCTACCTTACTACCACCTCGACGGACCCTGATGCATAGAACGATGTACCTGTTGTCATTTTAGACATATCTACAGTTGATGGTGGACGGCTTGATTCGGTAATTCCACGCACGATCAGCCAGAAGATACTGTGAACCATGACGAGGGTCTACGGCCCAAGCAATTCCCGCAGTATTTTGTATGAGCTTCATTGGTTCCAATTGTTAGACATCCATACTGTATCTAGCCCGGATAAGACCTCCTACTGTGTCAATCTATGCTTCCCCTTCTCAATCTAGCTAAGTCTTTCAGTTGTAATACAGAATCTGACAGAGGTATAGAATAATTTTGGGAAGCCAATCACAAGACTTTTCCTATGGCTGGGTCTATCTCGCAATAGTAACAGAAGATCGCTTGAAAAAGAACTAATTACTGTTCTCTCTCACAATTCATCAGCCCTCCCACTTGGCTTTGGGAGCACTGCTCCCAATCATTGAGAATGCTGATCAGTCGTTCCCTAGAAACCTCTAATGCTTGGTTCAGAAGGTAAAACTGGGATAAATGCTCGTCATGATGAGCCAGCAGCAGCCCTTTCTCATTCTCCAATCGTTTATTCTCCTTTCTCAACTCCTGGTTGGTCTGCTCTAGCCTCTCACTGCCAATCCGTTTCGATATATACGACTCCCATAGCCGTCGGTAGGGCCCTAAGACCCGGGTTGCCTGAAAGGCAAGCTCCGGATTGTCCTGTTCAAGCTCTGCTAGTAGCTGTAATATCGGCTGAAACGGTCCGGTTGCTAAAGGTTGTTCTTCGTCGGTTTGCGGCAGGGAGGCCGGCTGCATTGATCAGAATTGTACGCGACTCGAGAGATCAAATTGATTCTTACCAGCGGAGGAGCTTTTTCAGCTGTCGATTCCGAGTCGAGTCGCTCAGTTTGGGCCGAAATTGCGTTGAACTCAGTGTTTCCGTCCCCTTCGAGATCGCGGCAGAAAGTCGGAGCATCCATTTTTCTCAGCAAAATAAAGGAGGGTCAAATTGAGAATAATGTGTCGTGTTCTTGTCTGCCGATTTAGTTTATAGAATATATAGTCACGAAAACCGACCGAGCTAACAAAGTCGGCTCTCTTCACGCAGTAATTTACAGGTTGAAGATGTTAATCAAGGCAAGTTGGTTATTAACAAGAGATATTCAATAGGCACTTCAATTCCAACGGAGCATCGCAACAACAAATCAATCACCATTGACAAGAAATAAAAAGAATTCGTGCAAGAGAGAAATTTCTGAATGATACAGTCCGGACGGACTAGTGCGTGTCTCATCGTGGAGTCATCACCGTCACCTCTACCGTTTAAACTGTGATAAATAAAATATCGTTCGAGCTCAGCTATTGCCATGCGTGTGAAAAGTACCAACTCGGTGCTGTCAAAATTACTCCGAGGAAAATTGAGGAAAAATCCCTCACTTCCACTGATTGTGATATATTGCTAGTTTCTTTTTCATAACTGCTTGCTGTTTGTGCCAGGTTACCAGAGGAATCGGTCTATCACGCGCACAGTATTTCGCCGTCCGAACTTCCCGTGTCGCATTGCTGGTGTTTTGGATTATGCGATCCACTTTGTGGTACTACCTTTTCTTCTACTCGGTACAAGGCAGCCAACAGTCACACTGCGATACTGCTTGCGTGCAATTCCCGAACAATCGCTTGCAAATGGATTCGTATTATCTGAGACAGCCATGTCCGGAGGAGTATTCGCAGAGCCGACCCCATTTGAGTCAAGCACCAATGCTGAACGAAGCAAAAGCTAAATGGCCCTCAATTCCCGACCCTTGCTTCATTGTACGTCCTATCAGCATGGCCCTTCCACAACAAGCGCTTGGGCTGTTTCATCCAGAAGACAATATGCTGCAGATTCATCAGAATGGCCACCTCGGTCGCATTTTTCGACGACCAGGATACTTTTCCGGCTCCGGCTTCGATCATTGGGAATCGATCCCTGTTATTTGCTGGCTGGGAAATATGCCGAGATCGTATCCTTCTAGCTTGTTAGATTCATCTGAAAGGCCCCATGCCTCTAAGGCAAAACCTACCTGCGAATCTTGTTCTATGTGGCTTGACAGCAATGCAGAGGTTGTAACGAGCACAGGTTCTCTCGAGCCCGCCAATGCCCTTCCTCTTGATTCTCCTCAAGCTCCTCCGGACTGGAGCTTCCAGAAATCTCTTCACGAAGTGCCCCAGCGGCAATTTAAATGCTCTCACCCAGGATGTGACAACCAATTCAGACGCCGAAAGGCCCTCGAGCGACACCTGACATGCCACTCAGATGAAAGGCCGTACATCTGCTGGGTGCCAGAATGTCATCGCAGCTTCAAACGCTCGGACAACCTAAAGGCTCATTATATGACTCATGCTAAAATGGGCGGCCGCAATCGCTATGTGGCAACCTTGGACAATATGAGTTCTGTCTACAGCCCGGAGTTTCGCGGTCAATTGACATTGGAGGGGTGGCCAACTCATGAATAGGCGAGAGATGGAAAGTCCTGTCAATTCGGAGTAATTGCTGATCTATTGCCTGGCAAATTCAGTGATCGACAGGAGAGTTACACTAGATATCAAAATACCTATCATTTATACTCTGAAGTTCCCTCCCGGTCCTACCGCATCTCTGAGATCGATTGTTCATGTATCCCTAAATTATGCGGGGTTACCTTCTAAGCCTCAGGAATAGCCATGGGATTTTGTTTCAAAACTTGCGGAACATAGGACAACTAGCTATGACTGAGGCCAAAAATCAGGGTAGGGAGGTACGAGACACACGAATCTCCTCTGCTGAGTGTATGGATTCACAGATTCGGACAATAGAAGCAGCATAGTTGAGAAGAAACAAACAAAGCTAGGTGGAATCCTTCATCTTCAACAATCCGTTATAGAGTTCGAAGGGCTTTCAGAGCCCGAGGACATTGTCGGAGTCGATGCTGCTTCCGTAACCAACATATCGCTGGATTTTGTATCCGAGGAAGTCGATTGAGGCTTACTGTTTCGCGTCGAAGACGAAGAACTATTGGTTGCGGTGCATAAACCCCCTTTTACTAGACCTCCGTCGACTTTGCATTTTGCTTCATCTGCTTTATCATTATGGAAAAAGAGCAGGCCATTCTGATGCACTTCCACCCAGGCAGAGTTTTGACTGGAGCCACATAGCTTGGCTTTGAACGCCGATGAATTGGAGTGAGTGACTTTGTCATCTGTGTTCAGATCTAAAGAAAAGCCGTTAGAAGTATTCTCATTGTCAATGGATTACTTACTGCAACAAGAGGTGCCGTCAAGGTGTGCAAATGGCTCCGAGATCCCGGTGCAGTCGAAGTTTTCCGTAGAATACACGAAACACTGGCCTTTATAGTCAATGACCTGAAGGGTTCCGCCGAGGACCGCCGAGATGAGTGTAACAAGAACGAGCAAATTATGCATGTCTCTGTCGCTTCCGAAGTTGGAGTTTCTTTGGTCGATTGAGATATGTGTTGCTCAGTTCAATCATTTAGCGACGCACCATAGGCATTTATATTCTCGCTTCGGATAAAATTATAGTAAGACTTGAACATAAGCCACTTTCAATCCTGGTAAGTTCTAGATAGTCATCAAATTTTTGATTTGAAAAAAGAATCCATATCAAATTGATTCTGCGGATCTTCCTGCAACCAAATGGTGTTGAAAAGAAATGGAGGCGTTGAGGTGACTTTCCAATAGCTCGTAACAGCAAATGATGTTGTATGAGGATTTACAGGCTTGATCGTGAAGTCCCTCAAGTAGGTCATGTTGCCCCTCGACAGGATACGAAACATAAAGTCAATACAATACACACACACACACACACACAATTCATTAACGCCCGGCGGCTGAGCCGAGAGGGCAACTATCACTAGTCTACCAATACATGCATGTTTGGGTATACGCCGTGTCTCCTTGGAGCCCATACAGTATTTCCTTCCATATTTCCCATTTCAGCTTTCAATCTCATGCTTGGTCCCTGTGGTTAGTATTGGTTAGTAGACTGGCTTGAAGGCGCTTCTTCAAGTGTTCAACATCCTATCTTCGGCAGTTGAAGCGCGTCTACCGTCGATCACAAGGTGTTGGGGTTAGTTAAGGTGAGGTATTCTATCAGCTCATCGGCAAGTTTAGGTGGCCTCAAGTCGGCCCGTAGCGATCGCAAATCGTATTGACGCTCGCGCAGCTTCCAGATTCGGTTTCCACTTTTGATCATCGGCAGGTGGCTTCCCTCCCAAGAAGAAGGACAGGTTTCCTCGGTGTGTATCGGTACATTGTAACATATCCGTCCGGTGCGCGGTCCACTTCCGACATCGAAAGAGAAAGTGGTCCACCGTCTCTCTTGCTTGTCCACATGCACATTGGTCTGTCTCGGCGGCATTACAAGTACTGATTTGAATTTTTAAGCTAAACAGGCCTGAAAATACATTGTAGAGGTAGCAGCATGTCTACCTACATAGACCCTCCACCTTGCGTCCCCTCCGATCCTATTCCGCAACCTTCGCGGGGCACAGCCGGTTCCGCAAGTCAATACCAGTTTGCACCTTAAGCCTCCTTCAATAGCCGCCCTAAAGATTCCATCCACGATGGCCATCTTTGGGATCCTATTTCTCTCAGTAGACCGACACGCGCGTCCGTCCTCTCGAGCCATATAGAAAGTGTCGTATCTGCAGTCCGCCCACCCAGCCTTCCGTCGCTTCCATTATATGCTGCGCCCCGCAGATTGTCAAATCCGTTTCGCGCTACCTTGCAAGATCTCTCTGGCAAGGCCGACCGTGTCTCGCAGGAGTTCGCCCAGTTGTATCCTCTCTGTACCCAGAACAGCCAAGCAACACAGTGTTGTCCCTCCTACTAACCAAAGTACCTCGTCGTTCTCTGTGTGGGTTCAAGCATGCTGGATCCTGCCATATCGTTCGTGTTTTGTTTGACTTCGTCGTTTCTGTGATCTTTGACCCAGCGATATCCTCCTTTCAACAGAGCAGCCCGAGAGCACCCCAAGGGTGTCCTATCCCACGACCCTAGTGTCCACTGATTGTAGGATCGGTTTCGCAGTCGTGTTTCGGGTGGTTTTCAAATTGTTCCCTTGTCGCCTGTGCGTGGGGTCAGGGGGTCCTGACCCCTGAGCTCTCGCTCTAGCAGTAGCCCTAGCCAGCGGACAGTGCTGGCTGGTGTGACTCTTCTCAGCTCTGCTAATGCCATCGGGCAAGGCATTCGCAGGTTCCCAGCCGGCACCACGGGGAGGTGAGAGTCGTCGCCGGCCATCACTCTGTACAAACAAACAAACAAACAATTCATTGACGCCCGGCGGCTGAGCCGAAAGGGCAACTATCGCTAAACTACTATACAAGTCATAGTATATACAATTCTGTGACTCATTGCAACCCATATGAAAGACCTTGCCGTATTTGTCATTCTCAGCATGCAGTGTCGCATCGGATGCTCGTGGGTTAGTAAGTTGGTTAGTAGACTGGCTTGAAGGCGCTTCTCCAAGTGTTCAACATCCTATCTTCGGCAGTTGAAGCGCATCCACCATGGGTAGCACGAGGTGGTTGGTGGGTTAGGTTAGAAAGAAAGGGGTGATTTATGTTCGTCAGCGGGGTTAAGTGGCCTCGAGGCGGCCCGTGGCTATGGCGAATCGTATTGAGGCCCGTACTGCCTCTAAGTTTGGCGTCCACTTTTGATCGTCAGAAGGCGACTTCCCTCCCAGGTAAAAGGACAGATTTCCTCGGTGAGTGTTGGTACATTGTAGCATATCCGTTCGATGTCCGGTCCATTTCCGACATCGAAAGAGGAAGTGCTCCACAGTTTCTTTAGCTTGTCCGCACGCACACTGATCACTGTCGGCTGCGTTGATTCGATAGAGATATCCATTCAGTCTCGCCATGCCAGTCCGGAGTTGGGCTAGCACAGTCGCTTCTTTCCACGACAGGCGATCATACAGCAGTCGCGTGTGTTTTCCTGGAAGTGCTGCATCTACTCGTCTGGCATGTTTTCCGATATCCGCCGGCAGAGTATTTCTAGGGACTACTTGAGACCGTGCGAGGTTCAATGTGGTCGATTTCATCCTTGGGGCACGTTCTTGTAGGAGGGCATCTTCTTCCGTCGCGGCTCTAGCCTGTTCTTTAGCCAGATCTAGCAACTTGTTGTCTTCACTGGTAGAAATCCAGCGGAATTTGACACGATTCCCGTTTCTTTGCAGCTTTGCAATCAATTTGTATATCCGACACACGAACTCCTGGCCGGATTGTTGTCGAGGATTCCTCAGCGTGAGAACCGCCGCTTTGTTGCTCGTGAGCAGTGTGATCGTGTAGTCTTTCAGTCCTTTCGCCGTGCCCAAAACATGTGCCATAGCTGCCAGCTCCGCAGAGAATGGATTCTGCTCTGCTCTTGCGGCCAAGGTGATGGATAGCGCCTTGTGTTTAAGCTTTCGATTTCGAGGTGGTCGCTTCTCGATGGCTACTCCAAAACCTACTAGCTCGTTCCGTGCCGAGCTGCTAACCGCGACCTGCATGCACCCGCCCTCTTCGGCCAGGGACTCGTGCTGCTCATCAACATCGGTCTGTACGCGTTCCACCCACGGGGCTAGCGTGAAGGGGTTAATCGTTTCTAGGGTTTCCATGTTGATGTGCTTGAGCGCATCGGCTACGTGACACAGCGGTGAGCGGTGGTATCTTCTGAACTTTCTGATCTGATCTGTACACCGGCGGAGAGGATTGGTTTCCGGCAAGGTGTGGATGTCTGTCCACATTTTCACGGCTCGTTTCCAGAGTCGACGCTGCGCAGTAGCTATGTGAGCTTCCGCCTCTGCGACACTAGTCGCGACCGTGAGAAAGGTCCCCACAATAGCTTGCGCTCCTACTCTTTGCACTCGGTTGATCGGCCCCATGGCTTTATCCTTGCACGCATGCATCCAGACGTTGGAGGCATAGTCTACAACCGGTGCCACCGTTGACGTGAACAGCTGCCGCGCAGTTTCCGTGGATAGCCCACGAAGTCGCCGAAGCTCCATTGCTGCTTCAAGACCCTTGGACGCTGCTCTCGCAATGTGTTCCTTGTACTTGAGTCTTGTGTCCATCACGACACCCAGGACCTTGACATGATCCTTTGGTACCACCGTCTGTCCCTTGATGGTGAATGGCTCATGGTCTGATTTGCGCATCTTGGGCGCAAAGTGTATGATTGCCGTCTTGTCTGCTTCAAAAGTCGCTCCGCTTCTCTTTTCCCAGTTGAGCGCCTCGTTGACAATGGTCTCAATTCCTTCCCGGTTACTCTGCGCGGTCGGCCCGGTCACCCATGCGGTAAAATCATCCACAAAGGCGACTGCTCCTCCTTGACTGTCGATCTGTCTTTGCACGAGGTCTGCGTTGAAGAAGAGAAACAGAATTGGAGACAGGGGCGAGCCCTGCGGCAGCCCAGCTTGTGGCAAGCTTTGAGTTTCAGATAACTGCCCGTTGATGAGGATGTTCGCCGTTCGTTCCGAGCAGAAGGCCTCAACCCAACGAAGCAAGACCTCTGGTATGCCTCGGGCTTTCATCCTCTGGACCAGTCGTTCTTTGCATACTCCGTTGTAGGCGCCTTTGACATCGAAGCTGATCAGGCTCAGCACTCGTCGGCCACGCCACGCCGCATAGATTTGCTCCTGCAGGAACACTAGTGCTTGCTCTGCGGACCGCTGCTTCCGCGCCCCAAAATGGCTCGTCGGAAGCAGTCCATGCGTCTCCACCGCGTGCGAGATCCTCTCTGCGACCACCGATTCGAGCATCTTTCCGAGTGTTGCAAGGAGTGAGATGGGTCTCCATGCCTTTGCAATGGTGTAATCATCTTTATTCGGCTTCTTGAGCGGTATGATCTTCGCGTGTCTCCATTGTTTTGGCAGTGTGCCCTCTTGCAGCGAGGCTTGAAAAAGGTCAAGGACCCTGTACTTGACTGTGGGCCAGGTCATCTTCCAAACGATCGCCGGTAGGCCGTCTTCACCGGGCGCCTTCCACGACTTGGCCGCCGACAGTTGCCGCTCTATCTCTTCCATAGTGATGGCTGGCATGTCTACGGGCGCTCTCTGTGGTCTAGTCCCTTCCTCGTCAATGTTATCTGGCAACGGCGGGAAGAACTTGGATAACAATTCCTCCGCTTGCTCCTTGTGATCGTTGGTAGTAGTTCCATCTGCTCTGAGGAGCTGTGGGATCTTTCCAAATGTGGCATCATCCCCAGACTTCAGGTACTTAGCGGCTTTCCAGATATTGTCGTTGTCTGCGAGAAACTCATTCCAGTGCTTCTTCTTTTGCTTGCGGATGGCATCATGGTATTGTTTTGCCGCATCTTGGGCCATCTTTTCGAGCTCAGGTATTTTTCGCCCAGTCCGTCGTTCTGATCGCGCGCGATTGCGCCAGTACGTGTATATGTAACGGAGTTGTGTCAGGTCGGTTGTC